AATCCCCTCCTCCCCAGTGCTGCTTCCCCCCCAGCCCCTGCCCTGCTCCTGCCACGACAGGTTTGACATTCATTTCCTCCCAGCAGCAGAATTCTTGATCCATCAGCAACAAAACTGAATCAATCACTTCCCAAAAGCCAGGCTGGTGAGAAGAAAGCCGGCCCTGCCCCTGGCGTGTGGAATCAATCGATACCTTAAGCAGGAAAATATTGATAATGTTGCTACCGCCGACATATTTATGTCCTTTGTGATCTGGGCCACGAGGAGGGGGTTTTCTCTCCCCCCTTCCCCTGCCGGGCCCTGCCAGGGTCGTTTCAGACTGTTCAAACCCTGGCTCCTCTCTGGGGGCGGCGGGGGCTGGTTCTGCCACCTCCATCCCGAGGAGGGATCGAGTTTCCCGGACAGCGCCGGAGGTTCCTTCGCTCGGCCCTTATAAGGCCCCAGGGCTTGGTCCGTGAATCCCCCCTGGCGCTGGCAGGGCGATGGAGCTGGGAGAAAGGGAAGAGGGAAGGGAAGAGGGAAGGGAGGGACGCCGGGGGCTGTCGGGCTGGAGAGCAGCAGGGGAAGGGGAGGGGGATGGAGGGAGGCGTCGGGAGGAATCGGGCGTGGAAATCAAGGAGTGTAACCCAAAGCAGATCAGGACGCTTTGGTAGGAGTGGAAATCAGGGGGGTTTTGGTGAGGTTGGGGAGTGCTGGCTCCTTCCTACCCCGGAGCTGTGCTTTGGGGAGCTTTGAGTCTCCCCCAGCAGCGATTTCGGGCCACGGCCAAGTGACATCTGTGCTCAGGAGCCCCCAGACAGCACTGGGGTGGCCCCAACCCACGTGTCCCACGTGTCCCACGTGTCCCTGAGCCCTGCAGTCCCCCCCATTGGGATTCATCCTGCCCTGATCCACCTGCAGTGCCAGCACCGGCCGTTGTGTCCATCCGGGTGTGTCCAAAGGGCTGGAGATGCCAGCGTGGGAATGGGGTCATCTCCCACCCCGAGCCAGGAGGGAAACACCTGAACCACCTGGTTTGGATGCCATGCTCCAGCTGAGCCCTATTCCCATGGGAATAACTGAGCCCCATCCTTGTGGGAATAACTGAACCCCATCCCCATGGGAATAACTGAGCCCCATCCCTGCGGGAATAACTGAGCCCCATCCTTGTGGGAATAACTGAGCCCAATCCATGTGGGAATAACTGAGCCCCATTCCTGCAGGAAATAACTGAACCCCATCCCCATGGGAATAACTGAGCCCCATTCCTGCAGGAAATAACTGAACCCCATCCCCATGGGAATAACTGAGCCCAATCCATGTGGGAATAACTGAACCCCATCCCCATGGGAATAACTGAGCCCAATCCATGTGGAAATAACTGAGCCCAACTCCCTGTGGGAATAACCCCCCGATTTTCCCCAGCACCCCCGTTTCCCTCCGGCTGCATCCCAGGCCCAGCCGGGATGAGCGGGATGAGCGGGCACAGGGGGAAGGGAGGAGTGGGAGGGGTCAGGGACGGTCCCTCCCTGCGGGAATCCAGGGAACAGTTTTCCCTGAATGGTAAAACTCCTCCGTGGGCGGCCGGGCCAGACTCTGCCGGCGTTGGTTCCCCTCCAGCCGGGGAGGATTTCCAGCAGCTCTGGAACTGCAGCTCCAGGAGCAGCTGATCTTCCCATCCCTCTGGAACTGCAGCTCCAGGAGCAGCTGATCTTCCCATCCCTCCATCCCGGGTTTGGAGCTGGCAGGGACACGGAGCAGGGGTGGGAGCACCGGACGTGCCCCTTGCCTGGCCTTGTCCTCCAGCCTGACAGGCTTTAAGTGCCCGAATCCCATCGATCCCAAGGAGAACCAGAGGATTGGGGACCACGGGAACCCTCAATTCCTGCTCTCCAGACACGGGCTGGGCTCTTGCCCAGTGGCCCAAGGTGCAGATTTCCCGGCCAAGCTGGGCTGGAGAGTTCAAACCAAATGATTTTTCCTCTTCCTTTTTTTTTCCCCCCCTTGAAAAGATATTATGGATTATCCAAAAGGTGCCTTCTTGCCACGAATCCCTCTGCATCCCACAGAGACTGTCCCACACTCCGATGGCTCCCAGTGAAGTGAGATAACCCAGAGCCTGATTTCCACCCTGAATTTCCTCCCTTTCCCCCTCAGAAGGGATTTTTCCCCCCAAGACCTGGGCAGTGCAGGGTCCCCTTCCCCTGGAGCAGACGGGGATCAGGACCCATCCCCTGCTCCCAGGGCCCTTCTGCTCCCCCTGGGCCCTTCTCTGTGCTCCCAACCCTGGCTGTGAAGAGCAGGAGGACAATTTCCCACCGTGTATTATTTATTCATCGTTATTTATAACTTCCCATTACTGGTCTGTCTCTCTGTCGGGAAGGTAATTACCTCTGCTTTGGAGTAAAAGCAGTAAAAACTTGGAGCTGGCACCGAGTGTTTAACTCCTGCTCTGTCTGGGGGTGGCAGGAGCGGGGAGAGGCATCACCTGGCTTTGCCTGGGCACCTCTGGAAGTGGTTGTGGGAAGGCCTGGCTGAGCCTGGAGGAGGATAACGAGGGGGTGAGAGTCATCCTGAGGATGCTGCTCTGGAGAGGGACGTGGCCCAGGATTTCACCGAGCTGCAAATGGGGTTTTGCTCATTAAACCTGCCCTGTTCGGGCACAACCGGCTCCATCCCAGGCAGCCCAGCAGGTGGGAGCCTCTCCAGTGGGGGAACCCCTCCATGCACGACCCCCCCAGCCCGGAGGGAGGGTGGGAGCCAACAACAAAAAAAAATCAATGGAAGCTTCTTTTTGTTCTTATGAGCACAAACCCTCTCCCTGACCCGCTCTCGGCTCTGCCAGTGCCTGTGGCATCGTCCCACCGTGGCACAGTGGCAATGGCAGCATCACTGGGACCCAATTTTGGGCCACCTTGGTGGCCACGAGCTTCCCTGGGGGCGTGAGCGGCCCCGCTCGGAGCCAAGGGCAGGTGGAGGTGGTTTTTGGTGGATCCGAGGAATTGCAGCACTCCGAGAGCTTCATCCCCCCCAGCAGCCCAGAGGATGCTCCCCCAGCAAATAAACCCCTGGAGCCTTTGGGCTGAATTCCAAGCAGACTTTTAATGGGCTCTTTGTCGCCTCGTGGAGCCGGGGAAGGGCCACAGCCTTTTTTGGGAAGGGGGGAAGTGCCGGGTGTGTGATTTGACGGGGAGCCCCCTCAGCAAAGGAGCCGCGGGGGGGGCCGGGGGTGGGAGCAGAAGTTTTCACTTACCTTGGCTGGCTGCCGGCCCAGCACGTGGAGCACAGCTGAGCTCCAGGACCGGCTTTTTCCAGGGATGATTCCCACGCTGGCACCAGGCTTGGGGAGCGAGGCTCGGGGGCTGCTCCCCCAGGGAAGTGTCCCCAGCACGTGCTCTCCCCGTGGATCCACAGCCCCGAACCCTGCGGGAGGGAGGGGGAAGGACAGGAGGGATTTGTCCAAGGAAAACAGCTGGATTTGCCACTCGCTGTGGCAAATGAATTGTGGGATCCCTCGGCTGCTCCCCCGCTGGGCCAGCCCTGCCCTGTGTCCCATTCCCGCCCAGCCAGGAGTGGGATGCTCGGCCTCTCGCTGCCCATCCCGACCCCGACGTGGGCATCCCGACCCCCCAACCCCCCCGGCACATCCTGCCCCCGGCCCCCCCGGCCCCAGCGTGGCTTTTTGGCTGGGAATCCCTTCCCCATGTGGCTCCCACATGTGCTCCTGCCTGTCCGTGCCGGAGAACAAACGGCAGCTTTGGCTCCGGTTCAGTCTCATGGAAAAGCTCAGGGAACTCCTTAAAGCCCTTCCCTGACAGGGCAGCACGGGCTGGGTGGGGGCAGCCAACCTCCTGCACCTTGGAGAGTCAGTAAGTGGCTTTTCCAGAGGAAATCCAGCTGAGCTGGGATGAGCCCGGGGTGCTTTGCTGCCTGGACGGGGAGCTGTGACCCAGGGGAGGATCCCGGGGGGTCACGGGGAGCTGGGGGGGCTCCAGTGGCTGCAGTGCTGGGAATGCTGGAGCTGAACATCGCTCTGGGGACCCCAAAAGCACCTGCAGAGCCCGGGGGGTGAGGAAGCACCTGTGTTAGAGGGACACGAGGCCAAACCCAGAGTCAGACAGGGAAGGTCTCTCCTCTGTCCCCCCCCTGGAGCCTCCCCGGGAGCAGTGACAGTGTGACAGGGCCATCCCCAGCCACCCTCCTTGGCCAGGGCCACCAGCAAACCCCCTGCATTGTTCCAGGGAGCCCCACAAGGAGCACTCCTGGTGCTGACACAGCAAGGCAGGACGAGGGACGAGCCCTGACATCTCCAGCTTCCATCTCCGTGGGGTCTGGGATGGCAGGGACAGCGGGCAGAGCCATCCCAGGGAAGCTGGAAGCTCCAGGACAAAGGAGAGGGCACACAGGGAGAGTTTTAGGAGCCAAAGGATGTCAATATGGATATTTTTTTTTTTTTGGTCCAAAGGGGAACTTTGGATCCCACTGGGAGCTTCTCTGTGTCACCCGGATGGCTGGGACAGACCTTGGGATCTGAGTCCTGGGGATGTCCCCAATCCAGGGGGGTTATTCCTTGTCCCAGCAGCTGGACACCCCAGCCCAGGCACGGAGCATCTCCCCGGGGCTGCACTGTCACCAAAGAACCCACCACGGGGACGGGGACCGGCGGACAGGGACAGACGGACGGACGTGGGCGTTGGGGGGGGACGGAGAGCTGGACGGACGGACGGACAGACAGCAGGGGAGGGTGAATGGAGACAGAGGGAAGGGCGTGAACAACCTGAACGGCCGAGAGGCTGCAGAGCCGCGGCCGGACAGAGCCGAGCGCGCCCCGAGAGCGCTTTGTGGGGGGCGGCGGGGCCGGGGGGGCTCGGGGGGGCCCTGCTTTGTGTGGCGGCGGAGGAGGTGCGGGCTCGGCCGCTCGCCGTGATGCTCCGGGGGCGGAGAGGAGGAGGAGGAGGAGGAGGGACTTGCAGCCTTTTCTCGCTGCCGCCGAGGCGGCGGCGGCAGAGGGAGGGCAGGGGCAGCCCGGCCGCGCACCGGCTTTTGGGGGGAGGTCGCGGCCCCGCAGCCGCTCTCGGGTGGGGGGTCCCCGCTGCCCCCGCGCACCATGGCCGGGCTCCTGCCGCTGCTGCTGCTCCTGCTGCCGGCGGTGAGTGCGGGAGCGGCGTCCCGGGGGGAGCGCCCACAGTCCCCGCAGGCACCCGCGGGGGTGGGATGGAGGGTCCCGGGGTACCGGGATGGAGGATCCTCGAGGCATCAGGCGGGGGTGGGATGGAGGGTCCCGGAGGCACCACTGGGGGTGGGATGGAGGGTCCCGGCGGTACCGGGATGGGGGGTCCCCGAGGTATCAGGCGGGGGTGGATTGGAGGGTCCCGGAGGTACCGGGAGCAGCATCTCGGGGACAGCGCGGAGGGTCCCGGAGGCACCAGGCGGGGCTGGGATGAAGGGTCCCGGGGGTCCCACAGGGATGGGAAGCCCCGGGGGTACGGGGCGGGAGGTCCCGGGGGCAGCGGGAAGGCAGCGGCAGTGCCAGGTGGAGTTCTTGGGATGAGGAGGGAGGGGGTGCGGGGAGGTGGCTGGTGATGGGGGTCCCACAGCCCCTCTGACCCCGCTGCACAGGGCTCTGCCAGCCCTTCTACCCGGGGAGAAAAGGAAGGCAGAGCCCTCGGTCAGCGGGGGAGAAGCCACCCGCCCCCCAGTGCCTTCATGTCCCGCCATCCCACGGCCCCCCCGATCTGTCCTAGACTTTCCCGGCTCCGAACTCTCCCAGAGCAAAGGGTGAGACCCCCTTCCTCCCGCCGGAGCCCTGCGATGGGCACAGCCTCGGCGTGTGCCGCAGGCAGAAAACTTCGGGGCACGGGGGGGGCCTGGAGAGAGGGGAGTGCCCGGAGTGGGGCGGCCGGGTGGGCACGGGGGGCTGGACCCCCCTTCTGGGGCAGGAACAGGGCTTTTGTTGGGGGAGGGTTTGAGGGGGGTCCCGGGGGATTCGTTCGGCAGCCGGACACCCCTCGGGCAGGATATTAAAGCCGGAGCTTTGGCGGCTTCACGCGGAGACTGAGGAGGGGAGAGAGCTTGGCCGGAGGGTCTCCTTCCCCCGGGACGCTCGTGGCAGGAAAGACAAGGAGGGATTCTTGTCCAGCCATATGGAGTCAAAGGATTTGCCCCCAGGGAATGACCCGCCTCGCAGCCCCCCCCCATCAGCTGCTGCAGGGCCGGGTTTTGTGTCCCCCAAACCTCCCCGGCCACTGCCCTGGCTCAGGGCTGAGCTCAGCCATCGCCCCCGGCATTACACCTGCTGAGACCCCGCGATCCCTCACCCGGCCACGTCCAGATGTGCCCCCAGAGCTGTGCCCTCGGCGCCGGGACCACCCAAAGCCCGGGCAGCCGCTGCAGGGGAGGGGGCAGAGCCCTCCCGGTCCCGCCGAGCCGGACCCGCCGAGCTCACACGTGGCTTCCTCGGCTGCCCAAACCTCGGGGGTTGCTCGGGGCCGGGGTTTGGCCTTTCCCAGACGGGATGCTTCGCCAAGAGCGGCAGAGCCCGTCTGTCAGGCTCGGGGGCAGCTCGGATCCAGGCTCGCCGCCGGGCTCCCCTCCAGCTGGAGCATCCCCTCCCTTCCCCGCCCCGGGGCGGTTTGCGGTGCCAGGGCTCCGGAGCTGTGCCCAAATCCCGCTTCGACCTGCTCCCTCCTCGTCCCTCTCCTCCAGCTGTGCCTGCCAGGACACAACTGCCCCCCCGACACGGCTTCGAAAGCAATTAAGGGCTCACAGAGGTGTCGCCTGCGCCCTCCGCCCGTGCCCCCTCCCCGGCCCAGCTGTCAAAATGCTTTATGGTGTTAATACCTGCGGCTTTGTCAACAGGAGTTGTGTTAATAACAGACACATTTCGGCGAGCTAACGCGGTCCAGGTGCCCTTTCGGAGCGTGTTAATCTTTGGGGGGTTCAGAAGTGAAAGGGAAAGGCGGAGAGCGAGGAGGGGGAGCAGCACCTGGGGCTGGAAGTGGCATTTCCCGCAGCATTTGGGAGCGTGGATGGGGGGGCAGGGACAGGGGGGTGGCACTGACCGCTCCTGGGAAGGGCACGTGTGGCCGGGGGGATCTCTGGGGGGTCCGGGTGTCGCCCAGAGGAAGGAGCGTGGCCAGGTCCGTCCCCGCGGGCACAGCTCGCAGCTGCCTGCGGCGTGGGAGAGCTGGATCTGCCGGCCCAGCTGCACTGCCCGCGCCGTCCCGGCACTATTTATAGCCAGGCACGTTCGGCTGCTCCCCCGGCCCCGCCGGGATGCTGGAAAATCATCCCTGAGGAGGTGGGAGCGGGCAAACCCCCCCCCCAGGGCGGGGACACCCCCCCGGCAGCGGGATGGGCTCCAGCCAGGTCGGTCCCGAAGCCCCAGGAGCCGAATCTGCCCCCCAGGACACGCGTGTGGCCCCCCCGCTGCAAAACAACCCCCTCCTTACCCCCGGACTGATATCCCAGCTGAAATTTGGGGGTGCTGGGGAGCCCCCCTGCTCAGCACATCCCTCCTGCCTGCCCGGCTGGAGCGGGGCTGGAGCGGGGCTGGAGCGGGGCCGGAGCGGGGCTGGAGCGGGGCTGGAGCGGGGCTGGAGCGGGGCAGGAGCGGGGCTGGAGCAGGGCAGGAGCGGGGCAGGAGCGGGGCAGGAGCGGGGCTGGAGCGGGGCAGGAGCGGGGCAGGAGCGGGGCTGGAGCGGGGCAGGAGCGGGGCCGGAGCGGGGCAGGAGCGGGGCTGTAGCGGGGCTGGAGCGGGGCTGGAGCGGGGCAGGAGCGGGGCAGGAGCGGGGCCGGAGCGGGGCAGGAGCGGGGCTGTAGCGGGGCCGGAGCGGGGCTGGAGCGGGGCTGGAGCGGGGCTGCCGGGCCGGAGCGGCGGCGGGGAGGGGAGCGCGGGCTCTCCGGCGCGGGGTAATTGGAGCAGTTTGTCATTCAGATGCCTATAATTGGCGCTCCATTGTCTCGGCCCGGCCGGATGCTGGCGGCTGATGCGCCGCGGGTTCAGAACGCCGCATTGTGCGGGGAGAGGCGGCCAACGGGCTGACGAGGCATCCAGATGCGCGGGGAGGGGAGCTCCTCCGAGCCTTCAGCCGAGCCGCTTCCCCCCCAGAATCGGCCTTAGCCGGCTGGCAGAGGGACGGGCCAGCCCTGGAACGCACCTGCTTGTGAGCACAGGGAGAAAAAGGGGCCCTGGAAGAGCTCAAACCCCCGCGAGCATCTCGGCGGCGGCCGGGCAGAGACGCTTCCTGCACCCCAAGAGGTGTTTCTGGGGATCGGGTCCCCACTCCCTGGGCTGCAAAGTGCCTCTGCAGGGTGGCTCGTGGCACGTCTGTGGCTTCCATCTGTGCTGGCACGTTTTATAAGCAGAGACACTTCCATGAGGTGGGAATGTCGCTGCAGCTCCTGGTGCTCCCTTCGAGCCTTCCTTTCCTTCCTGCTTTCTGGTCCCCACGGGATCTTGGGCTGCAGAGCTGCCACCCAAGCTCTCCAAACCCTCCTCTGTGGCAGGAAGGTCTCCTCCCCTCCCGCTTTTCCCGAGGTCTCCTCCCCTCTCCCTTTCCCCGGGCTGGGAAGGGCTGAACCCCTCAGGATGGCAAAGTGTCCTTGGGGGACACGGCTCAGGTGAGAGACAAGAACAAACAGTGCTGTAACCGGGGGAAAAGCCCCCATCACCCCCCAAAATACCCTCCTGGGGGCTTCCTGCCTCCTTCCAGCTGCAGAATCCAGCAGGGCCTTTCCTGGTGAGTGGGTTTGGCGCAGGGAAGTCGGTTCTCTGCAGACCTGTGTGTGGTGTGGGATGTCACCCAGAGCGGGGCTCTGCCTGGCTGTCACTTCCCCACCTGCCCTGTTGTAACAGGAGCCATGACCTGGCTCTGTTCTCTCTCCCAGGATCCCTCCTGGGGCTCCAAGGACAAGTGCCCCACCAAGATGTACACGCTGAGCGGGGAGTGCTGCCGAGCCTGCAACCTGGGCGAGGGGGTGGTGCAGCCCTGCGGGGTCAACCAGACCGTGTGTGAGCCCTGCCTGGACAGTGAGTACCCACAGAGCCCCCAGGGACTGCCACGGGGGCTGGGGGGCACTGGGAGTACCCACAGAGCCCCCAAGGGACTGCCATGGGAGCTGGGGGGGCACTGGGGGGGTGGGAGCATCAGCAGGTACTTGATCCTCCTCAAGTGCACCCTCTTTCCCTCCTGGGAGCCTTCCCAGGCCTCCCATCTGCTGTGTCAGGAGGGGTTTAGGAAAAGAATTAATTTTAAAAATCCTGTTCTTCCCCCAGAGGGTGGTTGGGCACTGGAACAGCTCCCCAGGCTGTGCTCCCAGGGCTACCAGAGCTCGAGGAGTGTTTGGACAACTCTCTGAGGGGCAGGGTGGGATTTTGGGATGGTCGTGTGCAGAGTTGGACTCGATGGTCCCTGGGGGTTCCTTCCAGCTCAGGATATTCCAGGATTCCATGGCCTCTACACTGGCAGGAGGGTCACAGACAGCCTTTCCCCAAAGACCTGCCCTGAAAATCCCCCCTCCTGCCAATCCCCCCTCCTGCCAATCCCACCTCCTGCCAATCCCCCCTCCTGCCAATCCCACCTCCTGCCAATCCCACCTCTCCCTGTTTTGGAGCCCACTCATCCCAGGCACCTTTGCAGACCCCTCCCAGCCCTGTTTTCCCCTCGATGTCCCCAGCTCCCAGCTCATGCCAATATTTACCTCCAGAACCCCCCTCCCCACTGTGTGTGCTGCTCTCAGCTCCAGCCACGGGGGGGTCTCCCACAGGATTTTTTTGAAACCTTATAAAGGGCCACAGAACCAAAGCGAGTCTGGGAGGGGAGAAGCAAATCCCAGCAGTCCCCAGGAGAGAGAGGGGGGCACGGGGCTCTCCCAGCCAGCCCCAGGCACGGTGCCTGTGTCAGAGCTCCATAAATGTCAGAGGGAGCCGCGTGCTCGGACCTGGGGAAGTGTTTGCAGATGAACAGGCCCAGCTCAAACAGCACCACAGAGGAGACCTGCCCTCCCCAGTTACTGCTGCAAACCCGACCTGCCCTCCCCAGTTACTGCTGCAAACCCTGGGAAGGCCTGAGGATGAGGATTCAGGGGAAAAGCTGTGCCAGCCGAGCCCGGGTTGCTCCAGGGATGCGACTGGGGAGGGACAAGGGACATGGCAGGGCTGGGGGGAGCTGAGAGGGGGCAAAGGCTGGGAGGGAGAAGCTGGGTAAGGAGAGCAGCAGCAGCAGCAGCACAGGGCAGGGACAGGGCAGGGACAGGGCAGGGACAGGGCAGGGACAGGGCAGGGCTAAAAATACCTCAGCTCTCCTGCAAAATCGATGCACGGCACTCGCCCTCCCTGAGACTGGCTGGGGGGGCTGGATCCCCCCTGGATGCAGGGCTGGGTCCCACCCAGGGCTGGATCCCCCCTGGATGCAGGGCTGGATCCCACCCAGGGCTGGATCCCACCCAGGGCTGGATCCCACCCAGGGCTGGATCCCGCTGGCCATGGGAACTCGATCCCACCCGGCTGCAGTTTCAGGGCTGCTGGGCAGGATAACCCCGGGAATTCAGGCCCATCCTGCTGTGGGGTGCCAGGGCACCCACTGTGCCATCCCTCCCCCCCAGCCCTTCCCACAGGAATCCTGGATGTCAGGGAATCCTGGATGTCAGGCCCCAGCTGCAGGGCTGCCAGCCCAGAGGGGGGCTTTGCACTCCTGGGGATGCTCAGATGGGTCCTTTTCCCACCCTTTTCCCACTACCTGCACTTCCAGGTTTGTCTCCCTGAATTCTTTCTGGGAGCTTATGGGATAAAGGGAATTTCCACCCTTCCTGGAGGACGTGGAGGTTATGGAGAGACAAACCCTTCCCGCAGGGAAGCTGCCCAGGGTGTCAGACTCGGGCTCCAGGGGATGTAAACCCAGAGGGTGACTTGGCATTCCTGGCTCCCTGTCCCGCTCTCCAGGCCTCAGGATGCCCCATTCCCCTTCCCTCTGCATCCCGGATCCCGCTGCCGAGGGCCGGGCAGGTGGAGGCAGCCCCGGTGCTGGCACAGCATCCAGCCTGAGCTGGAGGAATGTGGGCACGGCCCAGGGCTGTGGGATCCCCACCTCCACCCCGGGCTGCCTCCCTTGGATGTGCTCCCAACTCACCAGCCGGGTTGTTTGGGATAAATTTGCTCCAACCAAAGCATCGGCCCCGCCAGAGCCTGCAGGGGCTGGAGGGGAGAGACAATCCCTGGGTCAGCCCCCGTGGCTCGTTTTATCCCGATTTTCTGCCCCCCAGCCTCTCCAGCCCCGCCGTTGCTGCCTCATGATTTATTTATCCCTCCCCGGCGGGGGGGGCCCCGTTTGAATCTCGGCTGTAATTGCTCAGCTCAGATCCCTTCCCTGCCACTGCAAATGTGCCCACTCAGCCAAAAGCCTTTCCTGGCCACTTCCCCGCTCTAATGGTGCCCATCAATAATTCAGGATAATGCGAGGGATGAGCCCCAGGTTAATGGGAGCCGCGTGTGCCGCCGGCGCTCCCGGCGCTGCTCCGGCTCCGCTCGCCTGGGTGGGCACGGGGGCACGGGGGCTGCTCACACGCCCCCCTGGGGCGGGAACAGGGCCAACAGCACCAAAAACAAGTTTCCCGGTGAATCTGTGGCTTCCCCATCCCTGGAAGTGTCCAAATCCAGGCTTGGAGCAACCTCATCCAGTGGAAGGTGTCCCTGCCCGTGGCAGGGGGTGGGATGAGCTGGGGTTTAAGGTCCTTTCCAACCCAGCCCGTTCCATGATTCTGTGATTCTGTGCTCCCTGTTGCCCTGCAACTCCAGGCAATTACAATCCCTGCAGTTCCAGGGGTGGCCTCGGGAGAGGAGCAGGACACCCCAACACAGGCACTGGGTGTTGGGAGCGGGAATGTCGCGGCTGTGACGGGCTTTGTGCAGCTGAGTCACGCCAAGAAAACAGCAGCTGCCGGGGCTGGGATGGCACTTCCATCCCTCTGATCCTGCCCAGCACCAGGGAGCAGGAGCTTCAGTCCCATTTCTATCTCGGAACAGCCCGGGCCAGCTCTGCCCTGAGCTCATCCATGGCTCTGAGAGTGGGAATTGCCGTGTCCACGATCATCCCTGGGAGATGAGTCCACGATCATCCCTGGGAGATGAGCAGCTCATTAGGGATCCAGGCAGTGGCTGGATCGTTTTCCCGGGAGCAGGGAAGCAGAGGGATTGAGGCTGAGCTCCCCTGCACCTTCTCCATCCCGGAGGCTGGACTTTCCCCTTGGCATTGTGGCTGAGGGAAGATGGGGATCGATGGGAGCAGCCAAGGCAGGGACAGCAGCTGTGCCCTCCAGGACGGAGCTGACCCGGCTTCCTGGGCTAAAAATATCCTCCAACACCTTTGGGAACCGGCCGAGGGAGGGAGGGGGATTGATTTCCCTGGCAGTCAGTCCTACAGGATGAAACCAGAGAGTGAGAAGCCCCGGGGTCGGGGAGAGTCAGCAATTAGTGTTGTCACCTCCTGTCACATCACACCCCCGGCCCGGGGACACGTGGCCAGGGGGGGACAACGGGGGTGTGATGTCCCGAGGGACCCCCGGGCAGGATGTGGAGGAGAAGGTGATGGGATGCTGAGGAGCAGCTGTGGCTGTGGGATGGCTGTGGGATGGCTATGGGATGGCTGTGGGATGGCTGTGGGATGCTGTGGGGACTAGCAGGAGGTCAGATATAGGGATGGCTGTGGGGACCATCAGGAGGTCAGATATAGGGGTGGCTGTGGGGACCATCAGGAGGTCAGATATAGGAGTGGCTGTAGGAGGCCCACAGGGACCATCAGGAGGTCAGATATAGGGATGGAGCTCAGGCTGGGGGCAGGGAACTCGCCTGGGGACACTGAGGACTGGGAGGGGCACCCCTGGACAGGCAAATGAGACATTTAGGCCTCCTGTTTCCTCGTAACCTCAACCCAGCCCCTAAGAGGGAACACCAAGGGTTGGTTCACAGGCCTGTGTGTTAAATTAATGCCCCATATACAACAAAGCAGATGAACAGCACATCCTAGAAAGGCAATGTAGAATTAAATAAACCTCCTTTACACTGGTTTTGTGTGGAACAGTCGAGGGCAGCATCCAGCTGTGCCCAGGCTGGATCCCCGTGGGCACGTGTAGGGGAACATCCAGTCCCGGATCCCCCCCGAGCTGGGAATTGCTGCGGGAATGGTTAATGGGAATGGGCAGCAGAGCCTGGGGGACGCTTGGAGGTGCTGGGGGAGCTGCAGAGGGGGACACGAGAGGGAACAGGGGGAGAGGGGAGGCGGGGATACGGTCCCAGCCGCGCTGGGTGCCGGGGCAGAGCCGGCTCCGGGAGCGAGGTGCCCGCGCCGTGCCCGCCCTGCCCAGCCCCGTCCCCCGCAGGCGTCACCTTCTCGGACACGGTGAGCGCCACGGAGCCCTGCAAGCCCTGCACGCAGTGCCTGGGGCTGCAGAGCATGTCCGCGCCCTGCGTCGAGTCGGACGACGCCGTTTGCCACTGCTCCTACGGCTACTTCCAGGACGAGGCCAGCGGGGCCTGCCGGGAGTGCCGCGTCTGCGAGGTGGGCTTCGGGCTCATGTTCCCCTGCAAGGACTCGCAGGACACGGTGTGCGAGGAGTGCCCCGAGGGCACCTTCTCCAGCGAGGCCAACTTCGTGGACCCCTGCCTGCCCTGCACGACCTGCGAGGACAACGAGGTGCTGGTGAAGGAGTGCACGGCCGTGTCGGACGCCGAGTGCAGGGGTGAGGAGCCTGTGCCAGGGAAGCAGGAGGGATGGGGGGGTCACCGGGCTCATTGGAGCGCTCCCTGCCTCAGTTTCCCTTTGGGAGGTGGGGCGTGTCCATGGCTCAGACAGGGGGACCCCGGTGTCCAGCTGAGAGCTCCATCCCTCGGGAACTGCAGCTCCCAGCCCTCTCCATGAGCCCTCCTGTCCCTCCCAGAACCCACCCCAGGGTCTGTCCGGCCCTTCCCAGGGACTGAGCTCCCGGCAGGACGTTGTTGTGCGGATCCAGGGGGGCTTTTGGTGTCCAGGAACAGCCTCAGGTGCTGTGCCCGCTGCTGCCTGAGCCTCCAGCAGGGAGGGACCTTGGCACTGGTGGGCTTCCCATGGGAATTCACTGCCCTGGAAAGCCAAGGAACATCCAGCCCCACAGCCCAGGAGGGTTCGGTGCCAAGGAGAAAGGGAGAGAAGGGAGGGCAGCATCCAGCAGCAGCCCCCGCCGTGCCAGCCCCGAGCAGCACAGGGAGCCCCAGGGCTGCTCCAGCCGGGAATGCCAGTGGAATGCCAGCGGAATGCCAGCAGTTCCTGGGCAGCAGCCGCCGATCCCCTGCCCCGAGCCCTGCCAGGGAGAAAAGGGCTTTGTCCCGGGCACTGCTGGGTCACAGCACGAGGGCGGCTGGGGCTGCTCCCCGGGAGGGGTCGAGTAAATGGAGCCACAAGTCAAGGAGCACAGGGGCAGCTTTGTTACCCTGGCACGGCCCCGGGCACAGGGGCTGGCTGGGGAGGGATGCCAGAGGGTACAGGGGCAGGATGCCAGCGCCTGCTGGGGCAGCAGGGCAGTCCTCACTGGGACAGGGGCCATGGTGGAGGGCAGGATGCCAGGTCCCTGCTGTGACACCCTCTCCATCCTGCTGGGCTGGCAGAGGTGGCAGGGGGATACAGGGCCGAATGCCGTGTGCCCACCGTGATTCCAGCTGCATCCTCACTCGAGGACGGAGCGAGATGCCAGCTCCACCCTCACCAGATGTGGCAGGAGGGCTGGCAGGACCAAATTCCAGCTCCCCACCATGATTCCAGCCACATCCAGCTCCCTCAGTGCCAGGCTGGCTCAGCCCCACAGGACCCGCTGCCTGTGGGCACAGGATGAGCCCCCATTGATGAACAGGGGTTTGGGATGAATGGGGGTTTGGGATGAACAGGGGTTTGGGATGAATGGGGGTTTGGGATGAACAGGGGTTTGGGATGGAGCTGGGATGAATGGGGGTTTGGGATGGAGCTGGGATGAATGGGGGTTTGGGATGGAGCTGGGATGAACGGGGGTTTGGGATGGAGCTGGGATGAACGGGGGTTTGGGATGGAGCTGGGATGAACGGGGGTTTGGGATGGAGCTGGGATGAATGGGGGTTTGGGATGGAGCTGACACCCGGGGCAGGGCTGGGTTGGGGCAGCCACAGGTGAGGGTGTTTCCCTGGGACAAGCCAGGACGGATCCCTCTCCCCACGGGACACACCTGGATGTGGCAGGAACGGGGTCACTCCCTGGCAGGGTGTGGGTGCAGGCAGGGGCCAGGAAAGGGGCAGAGCCGGGTTTTGGGAGGGGATGGACCCGGCTCTGTGGGCCTTACGCCGGTCCTGGTGCAGATGTGCAAGGATGGGAGGCAGCTGGGCCTGCTTCCCTGGATTTTGGGAGCAGCAGTGGGAGCCCTGGGGCTCCATGGGGGGAAGAGCTGCAGGACTTGAGCAAACCCCGTGCTGGGAAAGGGCTTGCACAGCCATGGCCACTCCAGCCATCAGGGTGGGCACCAGCCGGGCACCCTCGGGGCAGGGGACAGCTCTGGCCTGTCCTGGGGACGGGGATGGGGGGAGGTGTCACCTCCACCAGCCTCTGGAAGGGGACCCTGCTCATATTGTCCCTGTCCTCATCTGTCCCCTCCCAGGTCTCCACCCTCGCTGGACAACCCCCCCCCCGTCCCTGGTGGGCTTTGAGAGCCCCGAGCCCAGCACCAGGGAGCCCCTGAGCCCCGAGGGGCTGCCCAGCACCCCGGCAGACACGGGCACCACCGTGGTGGGCAGCTCCCAGCCCGTCGTGAGCCGCGGCACCGCCGACAACCTCATCCCCGTCTACTGCTCCATCCTGGCCGCCGTGGTGGTGGGGCTGGTGGCCTACATCGCCTTCAAGAGGTACAGCAGGGCCTGGGGGGGGAACGGGCACTGTGTCCCCCCCGGGGGATGTCCCGTGGATGGAGCTGCCACAGGGAGGGAGGGAGGGAGGGAGGGCACCGGGCTGGGGGGTAGAGGTGGAGTCACAAAAATCCAGGAGGAAACAGCAGCCGAGGGAGGAGAGAGGCCGATGGCAGCAGGGGGGGTGGAGGAGCCCTCCCTGCCCCCTGTCCCTGCCCCTGCTCGCCCTGGCACGTGTCAGGGCCCATCTCACTCAGCAGCTCAGCCCTGGGGCAGGGCAAGCCGGGGCTGGCTCGGTGGCTCCGTGGGCATCCCGGGCTGGGGGCACCCCCAGGGTGGGTTTTCTCAGTGGATCCCCGTGGAAAGGACCAGATCCCGCCAAGGGACTTTCCCCCAGGGAGGTGGAGTCGTCGTCCCTGGAAGTGTCCAAAAAACAGCAGAGGTGGCACCGAGGGACGAGGTTGGGTCTGTTCTGAGGCTGCACTCGATGGTGTGGAGCCTTTCCCGCCCCATCAGTTGCTGTGCTCTGTGGAATTGTAGATGAAACATGAATCACGAGGCTCCCAAAAGCTCGATGTCCACTCAGCACTCGTAAATCCTGATTTAACTGAGCCAGAGGCCGCAGGGGAAACGCTGCTCCCGGGGAAGGGGGACGATCCCAGGGGATGTCACCTCCCTGCCCCTGTCCCCCCCAGGTGGAACAACTGCAAACAGAACAAGCAGGGGGCCAACAACCGGCCCGTGAACCAAACCCCCTCCCCGGAGGGGGAGAAGCTGCACAGCGACAGCGGCATCTCCGTGGACAGCCAGAGCCTGCACGACCAGCAGCCCCCCGGCCAGGGCACCCAGGGGCCAGGTAGGGCTGGGGCTGGGAATGAATGGTGATTTAAACCCACCAGGCACTGCACTGCTCGCCAGAGGCAAGGAGAGGGGAGGGAAAGGAAGAACGAGGTGACGTGAGGAGAGGAAGGGGGAGAAAATCCCCTCTGTGGCATTCAGAAATTAGATGGGAAGTTTTCCTTTGTTATCACTGTTCTTTGACCTTAAAAGAACTTGGAAAGTTTTCCTTTATTATCAGTATTCTTTAACCTTAAAAGGACTTGTCATGCAGGGCAGGGGCATCGGCCCAGTCAGTCAGATGAAAATCAGTCAAGTGCAGTCAGTCTTGGAAAGTTCTCCTTTATTGCCAATATTCTTTACCCTTAAAAGAAGGTGGAAAGTTTCCCTTTAGTATCAATGTTCTTTACCTTTAAAACAAAATGGGAAGTTTTCCTTTGTTCTAAGTGTTCCCTGCCCTCAGAAGAGCTGGAGGTGAAGGGCAGGGGCAGCCCTGGGGCGGGCAGGGGCAGCCCGGGGTGGGCAGGGGCACCCCAGGGTGGGCAGGGGCACCCTTGGGGTGGGCAGGGGCACCCCGGGGTGGGTTTAACGCCTCTCCCCCCTGCCCAGCGCCCAAGGCAGACGGGACCCTGTACGCCAGCCTTCCCCCCGGCAAGCAGGAGGAGGTGGAGAAGCTGCTGGGCAGCTCTGCCGAGGAGCCCTGGAGGCAGCTGGCGGGGGAGTTGGGCTACAAGGACGAGCTCATCGACTCCTTCACCCGCGAGGAATCGCCCGCCCGGGCCCTGCTGGCCCACTGGTCCTCCAAGGACTCAGCCACCCTGGAGGCCCTGCTGGCCGCCCTGCGCAAGATCCAGCGCGGGGACATCGCCGACAGCCTGGCCAGCGAGTCCACGGCCACCTCGCCCGTCTGAAGGGTGGCCCGGGGCGGCCCCGCGGGGAGCCCTCCCCCCCCCGGGCCCCTCGAGCCCTGCCCGGCCCTGGGGGGGAGGGCAGGGGGGCAGCGGGGCCGCCCCGGGCCCCCCCGGGTGGCAGCACTGAGGGCACTGAGGGCACTGAGGGCACTTGGAGCTCGGAGCTCCCGGGCTCGGTACCGGCCCCTCCCGCCACTGCCGCCCCCTGGCAGCCCCTGAGGGGGTTTTTTGGGGGGGGCTCAGCCCCTCTCCACGCCCAAATCCCGTCTGCCCCCTGAGGCTGGATGGAGGCTGGATGGACGGACAGACGGACACAGGAGGGAGCAGCAGGCTCCCAGCCCTCTCCTCTCTGTCCCCTTCCAGCCCTTTCTCCTCGGGGCTCCAAGTTCTTGGGGCTCCAAGTTCTTGGGGCTCCAAGTTCTCCTCTTCCTCCTTGGCCCAGCCTCTCTTTCCTGCTCCCCTAAAATCCAGCTGCCTCCCCCCCCCCAAACCGTGGGCGAAGGGCAGGGAGGGAGGGAACTGGGGCTGCTGTAGCAGGATTTGGGAGCTGGTCCTACGAGGGGGGACCAGCAGCCCGGGCTACACTGTGAAATTTGGGGGGTGCAGCCCCCCCGGGCTCCAGGGGTGTTTGGTCCCGGTGAGGAGCACCCGGAGCAGGTTTTGGGGGGAGCCCCGGGGGGGCTGCAGGGGACGCTGGAGCTCCCATGGACACACTCCAGGGGGGACACTGAAGGTCTAAAGGGCTGGAAAAAGTGCCTGCCTGCTGCAGGGCCGTGATAAAAGGGCTGTGCTCATCCTTCCCCCCATCCCAGTGTCCCTGGCAAAGCCACCCTGGCACCACTGCACTGTCCCTCCCGGCCCAGGGACCCGCTTGTAAGGGCTCCTCCTCCTCCAGCACTGTGCAGGGGGCTCAGAATCGCCCCTGGGGTCCTTCAGCAGGCACTGCCCACCCTCGTGCACCCCTGGGTGACCCCAGCACCTCCCTGTGCCCCGGGGAGGGGACAGCGCTCACCTCCCTCACCTCTCTGGAGCTGGGAGGGTGGTTTTTTTGGCATATCAGCTCCCAGCCCACCCCTGGGTGATGCTGGAGAACCTCTTCCCCCCGGAGCTGCCCCCGAGGTCCCGGGAGATGATCCCAACACAGCCGTGACCTCCTGCCTGCCCGGAGCACCAGGAGGTTCCCACGGAGGAAGGACTGCCAGGGGAGCTGCCCCTCCTTCACCTCTGCATTCATCCAGAGACTCTTTCCTGAAGGCAGAAGGTGATTTTCCTCCTCTCCTCAAGGAGATAAGCGAGACTTGTAAATACTGTGGTGTTGTTTTCCTCCCTGCTCGATGTTCACACGTGTGACACGGGGCGACGATCCCACCCAGCCCTTCCCTCTTCCTCACAGCCTGTCCACCTCCAAGGGGAGCATTCCCAGCCCAAGCCTTCGGTCCCACCTCGTTTCTGGCCTTAAAGACTCAACGGGGATCAGCAAAACACCCCAAAAGTCACTGCAGCAGGTCCGTGACAAACTTGGGAACGTGGAAGGATTTGGAGCCGCCGGGAAGGGAGGGAGAGCTCGGTGTCTTCTGAAGGATTGGGGCCTGCATGGAGGGGACTCAAGCCCCCAGGTCCTTCAAAAAGCTTTGTGGGAGTTCTTCAGAGGCTGGATCCAGGTCTGGGATATTCCAGGATATTCCACACTTCCTGCCCTGGGGCAGCAGAGGAGCGAAGATCCCTCTGGAGGAACAGCCCCTGCGGCCGGACCCTCGGTTGGAAGCAGCCCTGGCAGGGCTGTGGGACCCCCACCCGAGTCCCAAACCTCCCCCACCGCTGAAATCCAAGGAAACCACCCCAGATTTGCAGCCCTGCTCGCGGGGGGCGACTCTGGTTTGCAGCCCCCCAGCTGGGGCTCCGGCTGCTTCCAGCCCCATCCAGCCCCATCCAGCCCCATCCAGCCCCAGGGATGCTCGGGGAGGAATTTTTATCGTCAGGTTGTTTCCACTGGTCCCTTTTTGGGCAAAGTGACTCGAACACAAACTGAGGGCGAGCGGGATGAAGCGCCCACATCAACACAGAACAGCAGGGCAGACTGCCTGGTTCATCCTGACAGCCCAGCCCGGCTGGGAATCCCTCTCCAGCCGGGAACTGCTTCTCTTCAGGACGTGCTCTCAGGTTTTGATGCCGTAGCAGAGGGATTTCCTCAGGGCTGAGGAAACGGGAGACAAAAAAACCCCTCAGCATCCAAAGAGCAGCCGGGGCAGGGGGGAAGCCCCGGGTGCAGGAAATAAATAAAAATAAAACAGACGAGACAGAACCAAGCGAGGAGGGAAAGCCAAGCCAAAGTCAGTGCTGGGGGGTCCGTCCCGTGTCCCTTCCTGGTGTGCAAAGAGCGTTTCCTCCACCTACCCCTGCCCTGGTCCCAGTGCTGGTCCCTTAGGAAGTGTCCCGGTGCAGAGTAGCCGTTGTAGGAGGATTTTGGGGGGTGTGGGTGGGGGTGAGCAGCATGAGGAGGGGGGTGATGCACGGGGTGGGGGGGAGGTGTCCTTGTGTATCCGTCAGATGCCAATAAAGAGCATCCCTACCCTGGTGTGTCCTCCATTCTTCCTCCTCTCCCAAAAACCTGGGAATCCCTGATAGGAAATAGGCCCTCAGGGCCTTCTGGACGGGCCTTTTTCCTTCTTTCCCTCCCCATCCTCCTGTTTGAACCTTGTCAGCAGTGGGAACGTCAAGGTTGGTGTTGTCTGGTGCAGGAGGGTTTTGCAGGAACGTGGCGGGAGCTTCCTGCGGCTTATCCAGCTCTGCACAGCAGCATCCCGGGAAAAACCATGGAAAAAAGAGGGCAGCTTCCTCCTCTGGCCCCTCTGAGTCTCTTCACCTGCTGTAAAAGAGCATTAAAAGGCTCAAATCCACTCATTTTGTCATCTTTGCACCCAAAGTGCAGGATCAGCCTCCTGGCATCCCACACGAAAATTCCAGTCCCAGGGAGATTTATTTAACTGGGAACAAGTTTTTAGGAGCCCAGGAAGGGCTTGGAGGGCTCAGCTCCGGGTAGGACAAGGGGCACAGGGGGGATTTTCGGATGCTAAATACTCACGGGGCAAATCTGGAGGGAACCCCCCCAGACAGGAGGTTGGTTTTCATCCCAAAGCACTTCCAGCAGCTCCTGGCGGGGGGGGGGTGTCCCTGGGGAACGTGGGACACGGGGGGGAAGGGAGCTGGGACCTGCCAGGGCTGCTGTTGGAGCTGCTCTGCCCAGGACTGGTGTGGGTTTGCAGACAGAAGGGTTTAGCCAGTATTTATACACATTATTTACACACGGTGTTTACACACAGTGTTTACACACAATATTTACACACAGAGTATTTACACATCCCCGTCTCCGAGACCCTGAAATCGAGGGCTCAGATGTAGCTGCTTTTATCTCTGGCTGCCCTGGGTTGCTCTCCAGCAGGAGCCCTAATGAGGAGCAGAAAGAACATTCCCTTTCCTTTCTTCGGGCTCCCACACGGTCCTGCAGATAAACAAGGGAAAATAATTGCAATCAATCCATTAGGGCTTAATCTGCTTCCTCTTAATCCCCACCCTCCCTTGGGAAGGAGGCTGGAATGGAGAAAGGAGCAGAGCTGGGAGCGGGGGGTGAAGGGTTTCTGCCTGGGAAGGGAGCCTGGAGCTGCAGGGGGGGAGGATGGTGAGCATCCTCTCCCTCCATCACCTTCCCTGCATCCCTGGATGGAGCAGGACAGGGAGGGAAGGAGCTTTGCAAGGTGGTCTTCATGTGTGGGATCAGCTGTGTGGGATCTGCTGGTCCCTGGGGAGAACAACCTGATTTATGGGGAGCGAAGGGGAAAAAAGGGGGGGGAAGAACAGTAAGATCTGGAAAGGAGCCTGATGTTTGCATGGGCTGGTGAGCAGGGAAAAGGCCCTGGAAAACTTCCTTCCCCTCCTTTATGGGTGCCTGGGGAGGGAGGGAGCAGCCCGGGGCTCCAGCTCACATCTCACATCTGCTGGGGGGGGCTGAGGGGGGACAGGGACAGGGACAGACCCACGCTGGATCCACACACCCACCGGGAAGAATCACCACTCTCCATCCCCGGGGAACCCCCCGGTCACTGAGAAAAAGGGGGGGAACCCCCTCGAATTCAAATCCCCCGAGGCACCGAGAGATGTTTGTCACTCAGCTCCCGGGACCTTCCCTGCGCCGCGGGACAAAGCTGGGAAAGGAAAGCTGAGCTCGCAGCTCCCAGCGGGGCTTTGGGAGCGAGACGGCGGCTCCCGGGAGCGGCTGCAGCTGCCCAGCGCTAAGACACCGAGATTCCTCCCCGTCCGTCCGTCCGTCCGTGTCTGTCTGTCTGCCGCCAGGAGCAGCCCAGCAAAACCTCTTGGGGAGCCGGCACAGATTTGGGGGAGCAGCCACGGGGAGAGGGAAGTTTGGAGATGCTCCCGATCCCGGGACGGCCCCGACCCGCAGATGGAGCTGCCCCGGGCAGGACACGCGTGTCATCAACCCCGGCATCGCCCCCCGAGCTCCCCCGGGCGAAATCTGCCGCCCAGATGCCGGAGCCGCATTCCCAAATAATGGGAAGCAGGTTGGCGGCGGGGCCGGGAGTGGCCCAGGGCCAGGAGCGGGCACGGCTCGTCCCGGGGCTGCCGCGGGGTCAGGGGATGCTCCCGAGCCCCGGGATCAGGGGATGCTCCCGAGCCCCGGGAGCGGGGGGGCAGAGGGGCGGCTCTCCCGACTGCTCCTGCTCCGAGCTCCTCACCCGAGGAAAACGGGGATGAGCAGGAAAACGGGGATTAGCCTGCAGGACAAGTCGTGGGATTAACCCATCCCGGCATCTCCGTGGCTCAGGCTCGGGAAACGGGCGTGGTCCAAACCCCGAGGGTTTGGGGATGCTGCTGAGGCATCCAGGGGCTCCAGCAGAACTGGGACTGTGGCTAGGGAACAGTAAACCTGGGCCAGGACAGAGTCAGGATAAACCTGGGACAGGATAGGGGCAGGATAAACCTGGCCCAGGATAAACCTGGCCCCAAACACTCCAGGGAGTGAAAAGAAGCAGCTCCCACAGGTACCGGGCAGGGCAGGAGGGAGGTGGGTCTGTCCCTCATCCCAGGGTGTCCCCAGGAGGGAGGTGGGACTGTCCCTCATCCCAGGGTGTCCCCAGGAGGGAGGTGGGTCTGTCCCTCATCCCAGGGTGTCCCCGGGAGGGAGGTGGGTCTGTCCCTCATCCCAGGGTGTCCCCAGGAGGGAGGTGGGTCTGTCCCTCATCCCAGGGTGTCCCCGGGAAGGAGGTGGGACTGTCCCTCATCCCAGGGTGTCCCCAGGAGGGAGGTGGGTCTGTCCCTCATCCCAGGGTGTCCCCGGGAGGGAGGTGGGACTGTCCCTCATCCCAGGGTGTCCCCGGGAGCCCAGCTGGGACAGGGCACACAGAGGGGTGGGATGGGACTGTCCTGGCAGGGTTTTATGGGATGGGGGTGTCTGAGCAGTGACCAACCCCTGGAGCCACCTCACTCCAGAGCCCCCCCATTCGGGGTGTGGATGGGACAGCTCTGCTCCCACAGCAGGGACGGCTGGGAGAGGAGAAGGGGAGGGAAGGGGGAGCTCTGTCCTGCTCCTCCCCTTCCCCCCAGGCGCTCCAGCCCTGCTGCAGCCGGGGTGAGGCAGGAGAGCTGCTGAGGGGGCCTGGCTGTAATGGACAGTTCCTGGAGGAGCAGGAGAGGTTAAACAGCCCCAGATGGGCGTCTCTGGGGGGAGCTGGGAGGGGATTCGGTGTCAGAGGGGCTGCAGAGGCCGGGCAGGGCCGTGGTTCCCACCAGGAACGTGCAATTCCCGTGGCTGCTCTTGGATCAGCTCGGTGGGACCCAGCACGGAGGGTCTGGCACGAGGGGGGTGGGATTTTACCCAAAATATCCTGATAAAACCCATCTCCAGCCTCGCAGTGCAGATGGAGGGGATAATGGGCCGCCCAGGGAAGCCCAAAATAACCCTCCAGCCAGGCAAGCTGAGGGATAATGGGGGAAAACACTCTGCTTTCTGTCAGAACATCCCCCTGGGCTGCAAACTGCTGCTGGCTGGGAGCTCCAGGGACACTGAGGCAAAGCCTGGCTTCACTTGGAGCTGGGAAAAGCTGCCTGGGATTGAACAGAGCTTTTCTTCTGGCACAGGGACAGCAAAGTGCCATCCTGGAACACAGGGAAGGGAGAAGGGAGCCCCAGGAGTGTCGGGATCCCTCTGGCTGAGGCTTCCCAGCAGCTCCCTGGAGGGTCCTGTGAAAGGCTCCGAGCTCCACACAGCACCCAGGGCTGAAAAATCACGTCAGGAAACTCGCCAAGGGCTCATTTTCCTGCTCTTTTAATTATTTCCTTTATTTGAGTGTGAAAGGGGAAGGTGGGGGATGATTTACTGGTTTCCTTCCAAAGGCAGCTGAAGACAAAAATCACTTGGAGCAGGAAAAAGCCTCGGAGGGGTCTGGAAGAATCGACTTTCTCCTGTTTCTAAGGGAGGCTGGGGAAGATGAGGGAGGTTTCAGTGTCC